ACATTTCATATTAGAAAAAACGAAGATAGCTCAGGTAAAGGTTTGAAATATACCATTTCAGAAGATAAAACATAACTATCAAACAAGTCTATAGATACCTGATCTGAATAAAATTAAAAGGATACGGAACATCTGTCACAAACAGAGGTCCAGCAGGGTCCAGACCAGAGATACGTCTACATATGATGATAATGATAATGATGATAATGATGATAATGATGATAATGATGATAATGATGATAATGATGATAATGATGATAATGATGATAATGATGATAAGTATATTTCTGACCTGTTAGTGAGCATGTTGACCTGCTCTACTATGTATGATAGCATCTGACCGACAGCTACTCCCATATACCTTGTATTAGCTGCAGCCTAACCGTATTTATGAAAATTATAATAAATATGGGAAAAAACTATATTTGTACAGTAAAACCCTTAATAACGAATGCATCGAAAGAATTCATCAAATGTCGTATTCTTCACTTTCTGATAATGGAATGTTGCAGATATTTAGTTTTTTAATTAAATGATTATATGGAACTTTTTAAAACTGTTCCCGCATATTCATGGCTATTTATTTATTTTCGCAAATACTGAAATTTACGTAATATAGTATAAAACTCATTGAAAAATTGTCAAAACGACATTTGATACATTCTTCCGATGTATTCGTTATTAAGGGTTTCACTGTATATATCAATACAATGAAGATGTAAAGGTTTCAAACTCTCACTCAAAAATCGATGAGAATTTTGTCTAAACTTCATAAAAACTAAAGTATTTTAAATGTCAAATTATAGTTCTTAAATATCAAATTAGATAGTTTTTATAGCAGTTGGGATCTCTGTGACCGATATTGATAATGAAGGTAAACAAGTTTAAAAATATCATAGCTTTGTTATCATGGATAGACCTGGTAATAATAGAAGGGATCAGGGAAAGGAAGCCCGCCACTGCCATGCCCCCAACCAACTAAACACAATTATTTGTCAAATACAGGGTTAACCACAAAGGATGAGATTTCAGAGACGACTGTACATAATTTAATTTTACATCTAAAATTTCAATCCCATGCCAACTGTTTCTTTGCTGGGCAAATAATTCAATTTACCAATAAAAGGCTATATCACGTACCAAACTAAAGTTAACAGCACGTAGGATTGAAAAACTATTTTTTTAATCCTAACTCCTCTTACATACAGAGTTATTACTTACTTACTTATTTACTTACTACCTCAATGTCGCATTATTTTGACCTTCTCTGTTTATCTAGTTTGCAGTTATATTTTTTTAAGTTCCATAAATAAGTTCCATAAATAATTAAGTTCCTTAAATAAGTTCCATAAATAAGTTTCATAAATAATTAAGCTCCATAAATAAGTTCCCTAAATAATTAAGTTCCATAAATAACTTCCATAAATGATTTGATTTCCTTTATGGGAAATCCTGTATGTAGATGAGGAAATTTTTAAGAACTTACCTTTCAGCTGTTTTAAACTTGAGTAGAAAGTTGCGTTTTTTCATGAAAAGGCGTACGCGTAAAATAATAAAAATTGCTTCAGAAATAATTGCTATAAAAATGTATTTATTAACCTAGAAGCACTGCAGTTGTTTTATTTTTCTGCATAAGCGCTGTAGAGAGTTGAACCATCCAAACAGAACTATAAATACATTGTTTTTAGAATATACTAGACATTTGTTGAATACCGTGAGGACCATAAAACTGTGGCATAGGAAGACGACATTAATGCAAGTGTATTTCATGTTGTTAACATGCAAATAGTTTTACTATTTATATAGTAACTAATTAAATCACAGATAAAGTGAAATGAATCCGTTTACAACACAATTGCTTTATCTCATGATCCAAATTTTACTATATTTTTAAAGTCCAAAATCGAGTCAAAAAGTGGTTTTCCAATTTTACAGTTTTCTAGTGCTCATGCCACTCCTGTATGCCAAGTCCATTTGCGCCTGATCCAATCAGTGTTCAGTCATGTGTTTGTTGTCTATTCTGAACCAATAGAAATAGTATGGCGGTAACATCTATCTTTCTATCTATCTCTTTATCCAATTAGAGTTATGAATCCTTCAATCGGCGCTATCAGTAAATGGAAACTGAAACTGTATTGATGCATGGTAGGAAATATTTACTTCTACTGAAACTGTATTGATGCATGGTAGTAAATATTTACTTCTACTGAAACTGTATTTAAGCATGGTAGTAAAAGTATTTACAACATTGAAAAGATTGCTTATCTCACCATAGTTTCAGTATCTACATATCTACCTTCCTCTAACACTATAGTTTCAGTAGAAGTAAATATTTCCATTTACTGGTAGCGCCGATACAAGGATTCATAACTCTAATTGGATAATGAGATAGATAGAAAGATAGATGTTACCGCCATACTAATTCTATTGGTTCAGAATAGACAACAAACACATGACTGAACACTGATTGGATCAGGCGCAAATGGACTCGGCATACAGGAGTGTTGAAGCTACTTATATTTGACACCCTCATGTTTGAAAACTAAGCTAATTTTATCGCGTAGTGATGTCGCGGAGGGTTAGCTTTGTCCAATATGATCTTTAAAATAACTATCGAGTTTTGACCAAAAACCCCAGTGAATTTTAGGGGATTTGAAAAATGATTCCTTTCATTTTGAAGATAAGAAAACTTTAAATTAAGAATCTATAAATATTTAAACTTTTAGATATGTAATTTAATATATTTCATCATCTAATAGGCATTCTAGGCAATCGTTCTGAAAACTTTTGCGTATGACAATTTAGTTTTCTATAAATATTTTAAGACTCTTTTTCAATAATTGAATAATCGCCACAAAGACTTATTTTCTATGCCCACCCCCAATATGTTTGCAACCTTGAATTCATAGTATGAAATATATAAGATGTAACCATCAGGTTGCAAAGATATAGGACATTAGAGTTTGTATAAAGTTTTCATTTTCTTTACCTGATAGACTTGAGGAAACCATGAGTTATGATAACTATTTCATCAGCCTGTAACATAGAGTTAAATAATACAAAAATNTTTTGTTCGTTCATCGTTTGTGAACGACCAATTTCGTGCGTTTTTTCAATCGTTTAACAACAATTGATTTCGTTCATGCTCAAAATCATCGTTCATTGTCCATCTATTTCGTGTGTTTTCTCACTAAGCGATCGTTGAGTAAAATTATTCGTTTAATTAAATCGTCCAGTCAATGAAATCGTTCGTCATCAAAAAACTATCCAACGAACGATTTAGAAATCGTTTATAAACCGTTCTCTTTAAAAAACTATCGTTTTCTCATTTCTCTGAGCGATCTAATTTTTTTGATCATTTTTGTTCGTTCACAGAAACGATGCCTGTCGGTAACTCTGTATCAGTAAAATAAACTCTTACTGTGGTTTAATAACATCTCCACAGACTGGTAGGGACATGTGTAGGAATGGTTCCTGAAATAAGTATTCCAATGCAATTTAAACAAATAAAATTATATATAATATTTGAATCTCGATTTTATAGAAAATTACAGTGTTTAAAACCTTATAAATATCTAATACTCATTTAACAATAATTTGTTTTGATATTTAAAAAAAATAAGTTATCTATAATTGACACAAAAAAAAACATTTTTAAAGTAAAGATGATAAGAAACTGTTAGAAGCTGTTAGAAGCTATTAGAAGCTGTTAGAAGCTGTTAGAAGCTGTTAGAAGCTGTTAGAAGCTGTTAGAAGCTGTTAGAAAATGTTTTTTTACCTCATATTTAAATATCCAGTTAAGCTCAGGACAGGTCTTATTTACTGAAAATATAAAGGAACTGAGTTTTTTTTTTCACAAACTCTATTTTTCTAATCTCTATATCTTTGCTACCAAATGTTGTAGACCTTTGATATTTCGAACTATGAATTCTGTTAGACCAAATAATCTAAGTTTGAAATATCAAAGGTTTACATCGTTATCATCAGATTGTAAAGATATAGGGATTAGACAATTTGAGTTTGTGTCAAAACTCAATTCCTTTGTAGCGGAAGACGATTTGTAGGTTTTCAAATAAAATTCAACGTGGTGGTGAGATGAAAGAATTCCAGCTCACCAGATATTTTCCACGTTGAAAAATATAATTTATAGTTTTTTTCAAGTTTTTTAATTTTAGTCATTTAACTTTGTCATTATTGAGCGTAGCTAAAAATTGAAATAATTAACACATTTTCTTTAGAATAAAACCTGAAATATATTATTTTATGTAAAAAAAAATCTACAATTCAGCAAACAAACGAGGAAAATCAGAAGACAGGGTTTAAAAATATCTAATATGTAAATGAAAATAATTTGTTATTTTCTGCAAGTTTCATGCTACATTATAAGCAGAAAAAAACATCTGTTTAGTTTTTTAAAAAACATCTGTTTAGTTTTGTTAAAAAACATCTGTTTCGTTTTTTAAAAAACATCTGTTTCGTTTTTTAAAAAACATCTGTTTCGTTTTTTAAAAAACATCTGTTTCGTTTTTTTCAATCGTAAATTTGTTTCTACAAAAACGGCTATTTCCGTCATTGCATGATTCAAAATTTAACGTTTTTTTTTCTGTTCGTTAATGGACTCTTTCTTGTTTAATTTTTAAAACCCCCCATTTCGTTAACGGCACTTTGCCCAGCTCTATAGTTACATATTTAAACCAAAACATTATTATGCATTAACTTAGTTAGTGGTTTAATAAAACTATTTTCTTTGTAACAACATCAAATACACTGAAGTTTTGCTAGTAAGTTGTCTTCTTATTCCAGAGTTTCTGTTCTCACTAGATTTGTATTGCACAGTAAAAATTTGGTTGTTTACTTTCATGCACACAAACTTCTAGAAATAGAAATCTGTATTAAAAGGACAGTATAGAAATCTGTATTAAAGGGACAGTATGTATTAAAGGGACAGTATGTATTAAAGGGACAGCATGGAAATCTGTATTAAAGGGACAGTATGTATTAAAGGGACAGTATAAAAAACTTTATTAAAGGGACAGTATGTATTAAAGGGACAGTATGGAAATCTGTATCAAAGGGACAGTATGTATTAAAGGGACAGTATGGAAATCTAAAGGGACAGTAAACGTGATATAAGTTTTTTTATAAGTTGACTTGTCAGATTCACAACGCGACCCTTGAAAGATCTTCCTGATCGTGTATAAATTGAACATCAATATTTTTTTTTTTGAAAATTATAAATTCTTCAGCGACTTTCATGATAAAAAGATAAATAAAGACGACTTTCATTCAAATTTATGCTGAATGTGACTGTAATACGGTGGTAGGCAATTATATCAATATAATGAAGACGACATTTTATTTAAGTTTTGATTGTTAACAAGCTTTTATCGAATTACAAGTTTACAAGTAATTAAAGAGAAGCTTTTTTAATTGACAGCTTCTCTTTGTTTCCATGTGTTGTTTATCCATGCTGTTTAAAAGCTTTATTTAAATCAAAATTTAAATTAAAAGTCGTTTTTAGTATATTGATATAATCGCCTACCACCGTAGATAGAAAATTTTCTCCTAAGATAAAAATTTGTTTCTTTGTTATATTCCTAAACTTTACAATGCAACACACCGGACACTCAAACTACATGAAGACAGGGTATGATGGGCTGTTTAACTTTTTTTGAAAAACTTAAACTATGCTTTTTGAAAACTATCGATTTTGAAAAAAAACCGAATTGGAAGTAGTTTTTAAAAATGAGAAACGAAAAGATCAATTGTTTAAAACGATCGTTTTTAAAAGTATATGAAGCAAAGCAGAAAGCTTGCTTTAATGAAAGACAATTACTACAGTTGGCAAATTTACAAAAGCAAACTTATTCAAATAAACCTCGATTGAGAAAAATTAACAATCAGTTTTGATCAAACGAAAGATTTTTTTATAGATCTAACAGAATTCATAGTTTCAAATATCTAAGGTTTCTGACATTGGGTTGCAAAGATATTGGGATTAGAACATCAGAGTTTGTGGCAAAGACTTAATTCTTTTGAAAAATAATTCCATGTTCCTGGTTGGTTGGCTGGTAGTGTGTGTACTGGTCTCATCAATGATAATACAGAGAAGGATTGTTAAAAATACTAAACCACCTCCTTCACTCATCATTCTTCTAGAACATCAATGATAATACAGAATAAGATTGTTAAAAATACTGAACCACCCAAGGTTATAATACAAGGAAAGTTATTTCAGAGGTGTGCGCATCTCTTGTACTGCAGTGTACTGTCTCTTAGCGGTAATGTAATCACAAGACGGATGTCGAAGACTGACAGTGACACGGGATCCATCTTTCACATAAAAAATCAATGAAATATTCTGGTCATAGGAAACTATTATGTGAATTATTAAAATTATCAAAATTTAATGCTTTTAACCTCCTCGGATACTAAACGAACACTGAGGCATCTATTCTTGTTTACAAATTCCGCCCACAGAGAACTGGTTTCAATATGTACGCAGTGTATATGCAACTGCAATTAACTTTCCTTGCATTATAACCTTGGAACCCCCTTCCTTCACTCATCATTCTTCTAGAACATCAATGATAATACAGAATAGGATTGTTAAAAATACTGAACCACCTCCTTCACTCATCATTCTTCTAAAACATCAATGATAATACAGAATAGGATTGTTAAAAATACTGAACCACCTCCTTCACTCATCATTCTTCTAAAACATCAATGATAATACAGAATAGGATTGTTAAAAATACTGAACCACCTCCTTCACTCATCATTCTTCTAAAACATCAATGATAATACAGAATAGGATTGTTAAAAATACTGAACCACCTCCTTCACTCATCATTCTTCTAGAACATCAATGATAATACAGAATAGGATTGTTAAAAATACTGAACCACTCCCTATCAACCTGTAAATGACTAAGAAAGATCGTCGTTTTGAATGTGTTGAATTCTGACAATTTTCTTCTTTTTCTCCCTCGACAACAATAATGAATAGAGAACCAAAATTGGAAAAAATAAATTTTAAGATAGAAATAGAGGGTTAACTTTATTATTTTAACGAAGACGATGGGCTAATGGGTACTGTTGTGTATGATGTATCAGATATACCACTCATAAATACAGGGATATCAGAGTTTAACAAAATCTATAAAAATATTTTTTTTTGAAAAAAACTAAATTAACAAATATAAATTAATTATCAGTTAGATTCGACAGAAAAATGAAACTGCAGACGAAGTTAGGAAAAAGAAACAGACACATATATAAACATAAAAAGAAACAGACACATATATATACATAAAAAGAAACAGACACATATTTATACATAAAAAGTCTAAAATTCTAAAACATATGTCCTCAAATAATATTCCCCTTGGCCTACATTACATAACATTTGTACTTTACTCCTAATCATATGATCACTGCGTAATTTACATGTAAATTACGCAACATCGCGTAAACAGCCTTAGTTTAGTGTACGCAAAATATTTAATACGTCGCAAAGGTACGAGCTATTAATAGGTTCTCTGAAAAAGGGGCAAAATCGGGGGCGGGCCAGCGGGGTGGGGAGGGAATTGAAGGTGGGTTACCTCTCTCTCTCAAAGCTTATCAAAAAGGGGGTTAGCATATTTGTTTTAGCTTTTATGTATGAAAACAGAGATAATTAATAAAAAAACAAGGTATCTTCTATATTATATCTATAAATTTATTATTTTCTCATTAAACATTTTTGGCTGGATTTTTCTTTCTTTTTTGTTTTCTAATTTTAAAGCTTATTTAGAAGTAACAGTATAATTATGTTAGGTACTTTCCCAAAGGCATTTTCCCAAGGGGGACTTCCCAAAGGCATTTTCCCAAGCGGCATTCCTAAGTGTATCTTCCCAAGTGGCAACTTCCCAATTGTGCAAGTTCCCAAGCGGCGACTTCCCAAGTCAGTCCTAGCCGCAGCACTCGGCCCCTAGCCTGTACTAGCCGCATCGCTCGGTCCCCTAGCCCTTTCTAGCCGCAGCGCTCGGTCCCCTAGCCCATTCTAGCCGCAGCGCTCGGCTCCCATTGCAGCCTGCGGCGGCTCAGAGGGCCTAACCTAACCTTTGGGAAGTTGCCACTTGGAAAATTGCACATTTGGTAAATTATCACTAGGGGAATCGCCCTTGGGAAAACACCTTTGGGAAAACACCTTGGGGAAACACCTGTATAATGCACTATACAACATTTTCTACGTATTTAAAGAAGTAATGCTTTCACAGCAGCTTCTCTTTTATCTTATAAATCAAAAATTGACGAATTTAAAATTCCCCTCAAAATTCAAAATATAATTGTGTTCCGGTTAAAATTGTAAAAAGGTATATTTTTGGGCATATATTGGCTCTGTAATTATTCATTGGAAAAAACTATTACAAATTAAATTTGTATAGAGGATATTATTTCATATGTTACAAATACTTTTATTTTATCAATTTAAAGAAAAAGGAAAAATTTAAGTAAATTATAAGGATACCTTGCTCACTATATATTCAGCTCACTATATATTCAGCTCACCATATATTCAGCTGTCCTGTTCTCCGTCACTAGTTAGTTAATACTAGCTAGAGATGCGTTATCTCAATACAAAGGAACTACTAATAGATAGATAGACAGATAGATAGATAGATAGATAGATAGATAGATAGATTTAGATATATATATATGAATAGAGAGATAGATAGATAAGTAGATAGATAAATATCATAGATAGATAGATAGATAAGTAGATAGATAAATATCATATATAGATAGATAGAAAGATAGATATCATATATAGGTAGATGATAGATAGGATATACAGAACCCCCGACAGATTGATTTCGAGGCAAAAAAAATTTCCCAATTAGATCCATCGTATGTGTACCCTTTTTCAAGTTATTTGATTATTGAATGGAATTAAAATATTTATCTAATAATTGAATCATCAGTTTCAGAATAATAATAAAAAATGCGCTCCGCATCTTGATGTTTTTGATTCTATTTTTTGGAATTTTTTGTTCCTATTTTCAGAGTAGCTTCTCAATAGCACTTGAGGGAAAGAAAACTTACGTGTGATTAGTTAAAAATCTAGTTTTTAGTCGTTAGTCCTTAGTTTTGACTTTATTGGAGTCTTTTAGTCAAAAAAAATTGCAGCAGGTCTTTTGGTTCCAAAATCTGGTTTTTTTGTTCCGAAATAAATCTAGCACCCCCCACACTTAAATCCAGTGCCCCTCCCGTAAGATATCAAATTTTAGGTAAAATAAGTTACTGTTACTGTGAAGAGGGCTTGCCCCCCCCACCCAGTGTGCCCCCATCCTACACTAAAGCTTTAAGTCACACGGTTCTGAACTTTACAGTTTAATGTTAAATGTTTAAGCAAGCCTTATTACATATTTCTGAGTAGAATCCAAGGATTATTGCGTTTATTACAACATAAATTAGAACAGATACTATGGTGGATGAAAACTCCACTTACCTATGCTGTGAGCACTTCTGTATGCCGAGTCCATTAGCGCCTGATCCAATCAGGGTTCAGTTCTGTGTTTGTTGTTTATTCTGAACCAATAGAAATAGTATGCCAGTAACATCTATCTTTCTATTTATCATTAACCAATCAGAGATATGAATCCTTTAATCGGCGCTATCAGTAAATTGAAATATTTACTATACTGAAACTATAGTGTTAGAGGAAGGTAGATGTGCAAAGGATGAGACTTCAGAGACGACTGTACAAGATTTACATTGTTTTTTTCCTTATGTTCATGATTCCTCGCAACTTTTCTTTCTTTGCCAAATCATTAAATAAGTCATTAAAAGACTATATTCAAGGAAGAAGACTTAATTTACCCTTAGAATCCTCATATTTTAAGAGTTTCATGTCGTCTTCATAACTGTCTCATTCTTTTTGAGTAAACCTTCACATATATGAGATATTTAAAATATTTATTTTTTTATTTTTAAAGAGGAGTGAGCAAAAAGAAACATAATTAAAATCAGCTACTGTGATTTAATTTGTAAATACAGGGTCTCAAACAAAACATGACAGTTGACAGAATCACCCTGCAAGCTTGTCTTTAATCCTTGATAACTATAATCTAATGACTCATAAATACTCAGTAGACTAATGAAAAACAAATTGTCTTTTTACTGTCATGTTTAGTGGGACACCCTGTAGTATGAGGATTTTAAGTGCTACTGAGTACATTTGCGGAGTATCATTGAATACATTGTGTACACATATACACAATGTTGAAACATCTCATGAACCTACCTTGGCCAAAAGATACAGGATGAGACCACGAATCATGACAGGTGATAAATAGCTATGCATGTCGTCTTCTCTATACTTTATTGGATATCAAAGGCTTTTTGCAGTTTTTTTCGTAAGACAAATCTGTTGTTTATATATATTTTACTTTGAAATCAATTTTACTATAACATAACTCTCAAATAATATTTTATTTTTGTTTTTGGTATCAAAAAAAATAACAAATTATGGAAGAAGACATTCTAAACTATTAACCAACTCTCATGTTTCGTGGGACACCCTGTATCATTATATTCATATCATTATCAACTATTTATCCACAGTTAGTTACGTTTAATTGAATGCTACTGATTTGAGGGTTCATTGGCAGTCCTAGTATTAGATTTGTGGACCCCTTCCCCCGGGATCAATTTTGTACATATTAATTTTTATAAAAATTAATAATTATTTTGAATTTTGCTAGGGTTTAAAATTGACAATTTTTGTGCCGAGCGCTGCGGCTAGGACAGCTGCTAGGGGGGGCGAAGTACCACGAATAGGACAGGTTACGGGGCAGCGCACTACAGCCCCATGTCTAACTTTGACCATGTTTAAAACATATGAGCTCATCTCATGTACTTTACTTGATAGGAGGGGGAGGGGGGGGGGGCTTCAACATTCGTTTTCTAGAAAATTGCCGAAGTAATAAATATATTTAAAATATTTAAATATTTAAAAATTGTTTCAGAAATGCGGTATACTTCTAGGAAAGTTTTAAAATGAGCTAAATATATATGTTAAATATTTTATCCTAAATTCAAATCAGAGCGTTACATTTCATCAAATCTCTTTCACAAAAATCTCTAAATTCGCAAAATACGTAAACCTTGTATTCAAAATACACTTACACAAAAAATACATAAAGTATGTAATTCTACAAGAATCCTCTTCCTGTATTTTCTGTATGCATAGTGATACAACCTTTTAATGGTAGGTCCGCTTCACAACAGCACCATTTAAAGCTTTGTCGTTAAAACTGGTTTTTGTTTTATTTCAATTTTATTTTTCTACCATAAGAATGAATTCAGGGGATTTTTTGAGAATTAAACCCTTTTTAACTTAAAAAAAAACAATTATATCTTGACATGATTTATTAGTTAAAGATCAAAAGGGTACCGTTGTGAATTAGGTTTGACCTTCTTAAATAGAGGGTCACAGCAAAGGGGAGTACTAAACTGTATTCTTTAAAAATGGGAGATTTTCTTATTGCTTCTTTTTATCTGGCTGTTCAAATCCAAGTCTGTTTGTGAGATGTATAAAGGAGATGGAGGTGCGAAGCTTCAGTTCAGGAGAACACGGTTAGTTAGAATATATTTATATATTGAATTTGTTTTTTGTTTGTTGGCCCCAGGGATGATTGTTTGTGACTGATCGAAATTGAAAAAATTCCATTCATATTTTTTTTTTCATAAACTTTTTTGAAGTATACAAATGGAAAAATTGGCAACATTGATTAAGTTTTTTATCAATCTGAAATCTTTATTTACAGAGAAAAGATGACAGTATTGAAAACAGCAAAACAGATGAAACAGACAAAATATATATGTTTTTTCTTCGGTAGGACCAGTCACAGTTTATGGGCAAATTGGAAGTCCCTATACTAGAAAAGTTGAGGCTGCCCTTAGGTTAATGATCATATTCATAATAATAATAATCACATATTTAAAAATGATAAAAAGAAAAAATTGTAATATCATAAACAACACAAAAGAACTAAGAATTTAACTTAAAAAAAGAAATTTTAAAAAATCATAATTTTTCAAAATAAAAAATGACTGCATTAAAGGCTCAATTCTGAGAAAATGCAATAAGATTAATTTGAAATTTAAATATAGACAGTTCTAGATTGAAATTATAGATTTTGTTTAGATACAAACAAATACCATTTATCAAGAAAGATCTCATGCCTGGAAATGTTGGCGGGGACTGGGAGGATCGAGGCTTGAGCAAAATTGTGCCCAAAGGTAACTTTTATTCACAATATTTCATTTTGGAATATAAACACAATCCATAAATGCACATATCTCACATTTGGTGTTGAAAAATCAATATTTTGGAATATAAACACAATCCATAAATGCACATATCTCACATTTGGTGTTGAAAAATCAATATTTTGGAATATAAACACAATCCATAAATGCACATATCTCACATTTGGTGTTGAAAATCAATATTTTGCTTTATTTTTATCTTACACAAATGTAAAAAACTCTATTGCAAAAAATGCAAAAAAAAATGGAAACCAGATTTATTTCCAGACATGGAAAAAAAATTTGGAAGAATATTCTTTTTAAATCTATCTTTTATTTCTCGAATCGTATCGACGATACATCTAGCTATAAAAATATAGCTCATATATATTTGTAAAAATGATTTTTCATGCATAAACAACGTAATTAATATATGTAAATGTTGTTAAAACCATAAACTCTAGAAAAATAAAATATTTTGTCTTAAAAAAAATATTTTGCTTTATGATACGATATGAATAATAATTCAAAAGGAATAGTTTTTCCAAAATAAATTAATTTATTCTCAAAAACTGTATTTTTTTGGGCTAGCTTCAATAAATGCTAGAGTGAAGTTGTATACATTTATTTTTGTTGTATGAATGAATGAATGAATGAATAAATGCATTGAATGATTTAAATGTTAATATTGACACAATCTCAATTTTCTAATCCCAATATCTTTGCGACTTGATTGTGCAAACCTTTTATATTTCAAACTTAAGACTATTTGTATAGCAGAACACATAGTTTGAAATATCTACGGCCTACGACATTGGGTTGCAATAATATAGAGATTAGAAAATCAAGAATTGGTGGCAAAGACTCGATTCCTTATTTTTAATTCATTTTATTAAATTACTTTATTTAATTCATCAGATTTTTTTTAATAAATGTTCCTTTAGTAATACCAGTTGTAAAGTTTAACGATGGTACATTAATGAATGATTCAACAAAAATTCTTCAGGTCAATTTTCGAATTTTACAATAATTTATTAAAAATTAGGGTTTCACAATTTCTTCCGTATCAATTTGGTTCCGTAAAGACGGAATCTTTCTTGAAGCTGTTTAGAATGATAAACCACTTAAACTTTCAGAAATTAAAAGCGGAATCATTCTTAAGAACCCTATAGATGCTACATAATGCTAAGTGTGAGATGCTGAAAAAATCTATGGGTTGATTTTTTCCAATTCAATTCCATTTGGAATAGTCGTTCTTTAACTTTATTTCAGCATGCCAAATCTAGTTCTGTGTACTATGTTGCATCTAAATTCTAAACCTTTTTTATTGGTTTATAATTATCAACAGCTTCAGGAAAAGTTCAATAAGGCCTGAGCTGAAAACTTTAGAATGAGATATCCTTAATCCCAATTATTTAATCATCTAATTTATAGGGTAGGGTACAGGGCGGAAAAAAGTCCGGTCTGTGAAAAAAAATCTAAAATAGCCCATACATTTTTTGTGACTAAAGCTACAGATCTATATTTTTGAAAAGCCCTTGAAAGACGCATGTAGAAACATATGTCACACTTAGAGATTTGTTTGAAACAAAAAATTATTCTTAAATTTTTGACCCTTTCTTAGGCATTTTTTTCAACCCTCCCAAAAAGCTGGCCATCAAAAATTGGGGTATGAACATGCATTTCAACCCTATCTATTCTATAAGGCCTTCTTATAGGGGGGGGGGGACGCCAAACGCTATACATAGATTCAAACCCCCCAGCCTTTATAGGGTTAAGAAAAATAGAAACTGCCATTGATTGATATCTTGCTCCTTAAAATTAAATTTTGCAAATACTTATAATGTTCATGTGCTTTCTTAAGGTCCCGATTATGTTCTAAAATGTTTGAATTCTAATCACCAACGATAAAGTTATACGTTTTCAGGATTTGGACAGAAGATACACAGATAGACCGATTTTACCCAAGGACAAAGGTTCTTCTTTCTTTTAATTCATGTATAGAGAATATCGTTCAGCTAAAATTTTTTTGTTGAGATTATTGATTTAGCTACATATTTAGACAAATTTTGAAATATCGTATATAAAACTAATCAACAAACGACTTTTAGCCTATTTTGTAATTAGCAAAAAAAACTTATTAAAAAAAATATAAAATAAACTTTTAGTTTAACATTTTAGGGGAGCGTTTTTTGTCTCTGTTGTTGGAGGATATGTTTGATGAATGGGGAACCAAGATTATGTTTGGCATGCGTTGGTTGGATAAGATAGATCAGGTATTAGAATTCAATATTTTAATTCAAAACAATTTTTTTGTAAAGCAATACTAAAATGTATTTGATGTTGTTACAAAGTTTTGCGTCTCATGTTTAGTCTCATGTTAATCAAAATCATAACTTGAGTCTAAAAGTCGTCTTCCTATTGTCGAGTTATGGTTTTCACTGTATGAAGATAAAAAAATTGATTAATTAGCATTACATTTTATATTATACTAGGCTTTTAGGGAGCTTCGCGCCCATTTTCTATTTAAATTGTAAACATATTCACTTTGTAAACATTGAAAAACAAAAACAAACAAAAAATTTAGCGAATTTAAAAAAAAAATTCGTGGATTTTCAAAAGTTTTAAACATCGAATTTGGTCAGCTAGAGGCGAGGCGAGGTTCCACAAAAAAATTAGGCCCGATCGGTTCAGCGGTTTTGACGTTTATTGGATACTAACAGACAAACAAACAAACAAACACCCAGACATTTAAACAGTATACAATATATATATATTTTTTTTGCAGGACTGGAGTGGAACATGGCTTGCTCTAGATTCAATGCTCGGGAAAGGGGTAAAATTGGACCAGGTCAATAAAGTTAGATTTGGACCAGGTCAATAAAGTTAGAATTGGACCAGGTTAATAAAGTTAGGATTGGACCAGTTAAATAAAGTTAGAATTGGACCAGGTCAATAAAGTTAGAATTTGACCAGGTTAATAAAGNATTGTGTTTAAGGTTATCTGCTGTTTACATTTTCCGGTTTTGTCAACTAATTTGATAAACCCATGTGAAACCATTACATTGCTGTATTTAACATAGTTTTAGGTATATTTGCGTATTAAAATAATTTGTCCCTTTTTTATATTTCATATTTTATTTTTTATATTTTATATTTTATATTTTATATACTTATATAGCTTAGTCAACTAGGGGTAGATATAACACCAAACATGAAGATTATAAATTCCGACGTCTCATATTGAAAGGGGTCCGGAAAACAGTGTTGAAGCATAACTTAGAATTGTCGTAGAACGCTGATTTGCTGCATGTGAACTCACAAATATGTATTTTAAATTCCGATTTTAAATCAGATTTAAATTTATAAATGAGAGAGAAATTAATTAACTAGGTAAAGCTGGTTCAACTACTCCTGCAATATATTGATGTGGAACAAAATTTAAAAAATTTAAAGCTTAAACCAGCATTTTTCCCACCTTTTAATTAAACAACATTCTTAAATTTTCATTTTTATCTCCAGTCGAATTTTTTTGCTGAAACATATTCAACGCCTCAATGTGAATTTTATTTTTTTTATTGCATTTTATTTTAGGTTGATTAGGACAGAGTATCCAAATGTTTGGGCTTGGATCAGGTAAACATTTCATCTTTAAACAAATTACTAAAATTAATTTTAATTTAAAAAAATGTTTTTCTAGAAAATGTGAGGATATGTCTGGGATTGATGAAGCATGCTTTGATGATGATCAATGTGCTCAAACATTTTTCAAGTAAAGTAGTTTTTTTTTCAATAAAATATTTTATCTGAATAGTGAATATATATATGCTCGTTATCTGTTGGTTTTTTTGGATCTAAGAAACGTTGGAGCGTCTAAGATGATTGCGCCCCAGTGCAGTAGTGGTTCAGAATAGTATTTTGCGTCATGAAAATATTGAATATGGAAATTTTAAAAAATTCACAAAAATTAAAGTTTAAAAAAAATTATTTTTGTTTAATAATGTCAAAAAGGCAAGTGTTTGCAAATAAAAAAACATCCTGGCATTTAATATTTTAATTTAATTTAGATAAAAATAGTAATTTAATTTCCAATACATTTTTTAATATTTTACTAGGTTTGCCGGAGATGTTTATTTACCATTTCTCGAAGCTAATAGACAAGCGTTAAATCAAGGAAAATTATAAATTAATTGTTTAATTATTCTTTCATTAAAATCTTGTAAACATTAGTTTGCTGTATTTAAGTTGGGTAACAATATAAACTACTTAAAGCCCCCCTCCCCTCTTGATTGAACATAAATGTAGTCTGCCATTATTGTAGATATTATAAAGTTATAAAATTTCTTTATGCATTTGATAGCTCAGAAGATTACTCCTTAAAAAAGTAGAATTACGAATAAATTTTATAAATAAGAGTTGCATTTTCAAAAGCAACAGATTATGAAATAATTTTTTTTACTTTGAAGGTTCGGACCGAGTCTCTATCAAGATTTTTGAAGGTAAATAGTAAACAAATCAATATGTTATTATAATTTATTATTTTAACTTACATTTTTTTTTTTCATAATTGTTGTTTCAGAAATTATTCACGATCAACCAGTGTTCAAATATCAAGAGAAATGTTTCAAAACACTTCAGGGAATCCATTCATATTGACTAAAACTTTTTTATCCACTTAAATTCAGAATAGTATCATTATGCAATGTGCATCTTAGTTAGGGCTGCCGCCATAAAGTTTAAAGAGCACTCCATTTCAAGATTCACAACTGTACCTTTTAAACCTTTGCCTTGACTAAAGTATGCAGATATCTTTTGTGTTCTGTCTGAAAATTGTTGATTCTTTATTTGCGATTTCTCTTTACTTGCGGATTTTTGCCAAAAAAAGGAACATGGAAGAAATGGAGAATTTAACTTTTAAAGATATTACAATTACTCATTTTTACTGAGATTAAAATTGGGCATGTCACATTTTAAACGGAGAATCACATGAAAATGTCACATTTTATACGGAGAATCACATGAAAATGTCACATTTTTTACGGAGAATCACATGAAAATGTTACATTTATACGGAGAATCACATGAAAATGTCACATTTTATACGGAGAATCACATGCAAATGTCACATTTTAAACGGAGAATCACATGCAAATGTCACATTTTAAATGGAGAATCACATTTTATATGGAGAATCAGATGCAAATGTTACATTTATACGGAGAATCACATGAAAATGTCACATTTTATACGGAGAATCACATGCAAATGTCACATTTTAAACGGAGAATCACATTTTAAACGGAGAATCACATTTATACGGAGAATCAGATGCAAATGTCACATTTTAAACGGAGAATCACATGAAAATGTTATATTTATACGGAGAATCACATGAAAATGTCACATTTTATACGGAGAATCACATGAAAATATCACATTTTATACGGAGAATCACATGAACATGCCACATTCTATACGGAGAATCACATGAAAATGTCACATTTTAAACGGAAAATCACATAAAATTACGTCTACAATCTCATATTATGATAAATAGTATTATTTTCACGTTAATTATCATGAATAATTTTATTTTTCATCTTTGTTGAATTTTTTTCAGTATTACATTTTACAGCTAAATGATTTGCCAAAGAGAAAATAAGTTTACAACTAAAGGGAAGCTGGAATCCTTTGTTGGTAACCCTGTATTTTATTACAATATTATAAAAAAAAATGATATAATTGATGAATGGATATAGAACGAGTATAAGAACCTGAATGAGGTTTCTAGGGCAAAGGTTGAAAACATTCTTGCACAAACCAACTGTATCCAGTTTTTCAAATAAAAGGAGAAATTGGTTCTTTGAATTAATTTCTGGGTTCATTTGACTAATGTCCTTCGTATTTAGAATTGTTATATATATATATATATATATTATTTTATTTATTAGTCTGTCCTACTCCTAATCATGACTAATCATTTTTGGTACTTTTAAAAAAAAATTTCTTTCAGTATTTTACAATCATCTAGTCTAAACATTAGACATATATAGACATTAGACATATATAGACATTAGACATATATAGACATTAGACATATATAGACATTAAACATATATAGACAGAATTTTGGAAAATCCGGCATACTAAATTAAAAATTCCCGCACATAGTCCTGAAGAGAGTAGGCAATAAAGTATGAAAAAATGTAAAAATGCTGTATATTCTAGATTTAGATAAATATATTGTTTACTAGTCATACAGGGTCCTTTTTTGCTCTTTAATTCATAATTTTTAATACTCATCTAGCCGCAAGCCTTTATTTATTATAAAGAAACAAGAACAGCGTCAAAATTCCGCACGGTTTTCTATTTTTTTTTTTGGTAGATTTTCAACATTCTAAACAATCGACATTTTGTAAAACCATTCTCTTTCAAACTATAAACATTCTTTGGGGTCACGTCACTGAGTTAACAAAAAAGAAATGAGCCCAATGAATTCTGTTGTTTGAATGCTACCACAGACAAAAAAGAAATGAGCCCAATGAATTCTGTAGTTTTGACTCTACCACAGACAAAAAAGAAATGAGCCCAATGAATTCTGTAGTTTTGACTCTACCACAGACAAAAAAGAAATGAGCCCAATGAATTCTGTAGTTTTGACTCTACCACAGACAAAAAAGAAATGAGCCCAATGAATTCTGTAGTTTTGACTCTACCACAGACAAAAAAGAAATGAGCCCAATGAATTCNTATATATCTATATACATATTTTTTGTTCAGATTCATTTCAATGCTCTAGTGTATCTTTAAATATCAAAGCAATATCTGGTAAATAATTACAAATTAAAAGGTTAACATCTAAGGTTTATTTACAAGTTCACCTATTTAAAATATTTTACAACAATATCAACAAATCTAACATAGTATCAACAACAAAGAATGTACAACGAATACTAGAGGGCCACGACAAACTCCGAAAATTTTCTAGACGCAGCGCTCGGTCCACTTGCAGCCTACTCTGCTAGAGAAGGTTTACAATAAGAAATACTTTATTTACACACTTTCATGCTAGGTTATGCCTTCTGCTAAGGATTGTTACTTTTAAAATGCAGAAACCGTCTTTTTCTGATGTTTCTTCTCAAGAGTTTATTATGGCGACAAAGGAATTGCGTTTTTAACACAAACTCTGATTTTCTAATCTCTATTTCTATGCAAACCAATGTCGTAAACCTTAGATATTTCAAACTTAAAGTTCTGTTGTATCAAATAATCTAAGTTTGAAAGGTTTACACCATCAGGCTGCAGAAATATAGGGATGAGAAAATTTGTATTTGCGACAAAGACTCAATTTCTTAAACTTTTCCCGCACACACCACCATTTGTCTTTTCATCAAGTTATGAATTAAAATTACAGGAAGTTTGATTGTCTCTAATTTCAATCACTTATTATTCACAAGGAAGTTTTTTTTAACTGTTTTTTTGCATTGTTAAAGGGACTGTAAGCGTAATTTCAAGTTACTATCAATGCAAAGATGGCAATGTCCGATTTACAGCAGTAGCCTTGGAAGCTTTGTCTGATCAAGTATTAATTAGATATCAATGTTATTAGATATCAATGTTATTAGATATCAATGTTATTAGATATCAATGTTATTAGATATCAATGTTATTGTTACTTTTAACTGTTTATTTTCAGTTTCTCTGTGAAAGCGATTTGAGCAATGTAGAAACTCCCAGTAATAAACACTTTTTAAGACAAAAAAACGATAGTATTTTTCACATTTTTTATCAGATTAGGATTTCAAGGGTACCGTTGTAAATCGGGCAATGCCATCTTTGCATCAAGGCTCACTTGAAATTACGCTTACGAGTCCCTTTAAAGGTACATAACTTTGGTGCCACTTAAAGCTTTATGTACACTACTACAGTATAACTGAAACTATCCAGCCTAAGCCAAGGATAGCTGTACTCCCGACAGCTGCGTCATAAAGAAAATCTAATCCGTCAAAATCTTGTCGCAAAATATTTTCGAAATCTCCTCTTGCCAGTCGACCCAGGTTAATTTGACCGTCAACACTAAGCTTAACGACAAGGAAGATGGAGGCTATGACGGCGGGAATAAAGAAAGAAATGGCGACCGGAAGTATGGCCAGGGCGGCGCCATTTGCATTTCCGGTTGAGTAGAGAATATATTTGTAAGCTATTACAGCAATAGCGCTCAACGCATAGAAACCACCTAAATAAATAAATAATGAAGAAATATTAAGAATTTTAGAGCAAAATTTCAATATTTTGTCATTTTTTTTAACAGTAAATATATTATTTCCGAGGATTCATTTATTCATTTATAAAATGGAGATATAACTACTGCTATATAAATTATAAGTAACGTCGTATACAATTGATGAAATCATAATTATTCGATAATAAATATTAAATAAACACTCTCCTTCAAATTGTGGAATAAGTAGACAACAATTTAGTATTTTATGAGAATTTGATGATATTCAAGATCATAACTTTTATATTTGATGATATTAAAGATCATAACTTTTATATTTGATGATATTCAAGATCATAACTTTTATATTTGATGATATTCAAGATCATAACTTTTATATTTGATGATATTCAAGATCATAACTTTTATAGTCAAACCAGTCATCTTCCAATTCTCCAGTTTACATAAAGAAAACGAGCTTTTTCGAAATTTGTTTAAAAATAAAAAAATAAGGTGTTGATTTTTTTTGTAATGCAAAAAAGTGTTACCTAAAATTGATAAAATTGTGATCGGCATATTAAAGAGCATGAAGGATGGATCAGTACCGGCCCTATTTAAACAATAAATGATTAATTATGATGAAATTTTTTATCAAACCAGTCATCTTCCAATTCTCCAGTTTACATAAAGAAAACGAGCTTTTTCGAAATTTGTTTAAAAATAAAAAAAATAAGGTGTTGATTTTTTTTGTAATGCAAAAAAGTGTTACCTAAAATTGATAAAATTGTGATCGGCATATTAAAGAGCATGAAGGATGGATCAGTACCGGCCCTATTTAAACAATAAATGATTAATTATGATGAAATTTTTTTAAAAAATATTATAAAAAACATTTTTTAAAAGTATAATTTTCACCTGTTTGTAAGAGTGGTTGTTGCTGAAAGAAATTTTTTTAATATTTCAATTCTTGTTTCATTATTCCTGAACACAACATATTAAAACTATATAGAAATGTAATTAATACCAGCGGAAGTGCCCGGCGTTGTCCGTGAAATAAAAAAATCATGTTCAGAAAAAAAATTAATTTTTGAAAGAAAAAAAATAGATATTTTTTTACCCGCAGGGTACCCATGGGTTTCCTCAAAAAAATGTCAGCCCATTTGGTCCAGTCGTTTTGCGAGCTATAGTTAACATACATACATCCCAATATAAAGAGCTAAGAGCTTTATTATATAGCTAGATAAAATTAATTTACAGTGATCCAACGGTTACAAACTCTCACACAAAAATGATTGTTTGCCAATTACTTCTGAAAATATAAGATAAAAACAAATGCGTTGAAAATAAAATTAAAATATTTAAGATTTTAAAAATGAAAAGTAAAAAAACTGAAATCTAAAATTAATATTACTTTTTTGGTTTGCAACAATTTTCATTTAATTCCGGTAATCTGCTTTATAATTGTCTACGTTAAATTCATGACTCTTTCAAACAGAATGCCAATTATAATCTCCAATTGAAATTTTAGCTGGCCCGAATTTAATGATTAGCCCTTGGGTTTAAATTTCCATTGGTTCTAATATCTTTCTAAGAGTAAATGATACATTTTTAAAAGTCCATTGCACGGGAAACATTTGTTAAAATTTACAATATTTATTAGAAAAACAAGAAAATTTTGCATCATTCTTGGGTCCGTTTACATTATTGATTGTTTAGTTTAGTCTCTTCATTCCAAAATGGGCGAATAATATTTGTGTGTATTTTCATGAGATTAGTTTTGATATGATTAGTCCCTGATACTGTGGAGGACATCTTTAAAGTCATAAACTTCTGTATTTAGTTCCGCAGTTTCATCTCCAGCTAGGTTTATATTGTAGTCCTCATAGTCTTCCAAGGTAGGTAAGAATGTACCCCCTGATGATAATAAAATAATAATAATAATAACCTTGCACAGGTTTTGATAGTTTCTCCGTGTCATCAATATTGTTGTAAATAAACTCATAGGACGGTTCACTCAGATCTTCAACTGAAGGGGAACCATTGAAAAAAAAACTAATAAATAAACGTTAATTTAAAACCGCAAAATAGATTTTTTGTACAACTTTCTAAGATTTCAATTTGCTTTTCAAATCCAACGGCTTTGTGACCTCGTAGCTCATCTAGTCTTAAATGTATATTTCGGCCAAAAAAATTGAAAATGTTTTGGCTGCACACAAAAATTAAAAACTTAGATATGATTAAACATTTAAAATTTACTTTAACTGGGCGTGCTTTTTAAAAAATGCAACAAAAAAAGATAAATAGTGAAAATTTCTTGAAAAATAAGCAATGGTTTTCCTGGCGCTGATGATTGGGGCCGGTTTTGAGGACGCAGGAGTCCTAGGACGGTTCCAAGCAGTCCTCCGTTCTTGTCTGAGGCTGGAGAGGGTTGAGGACGTTCCGCTGGGAACCGGACGTTATTGTCCTGTCTCTGAGGAAACCTGGAGCCTGAATCCTGTCTCTGAGGAAACCTGGAGCCTGGATCCTGTCTCTGAACAAGGTTGAACCTTGTCCTATGCAAACCGAGATTATAAATTTATGCTATGATGTTTAAAGAACCATGCAGTGAGTTCCGGTTAACAAGATGAGAAACGAGACGACTAGGAGATTTCAAGTTATTATAAAAAAAAAAATAAAATGTCAAAATCTGAACGAAATATTTCACATCTCTGCTAATTTTGAAAGCAAAAAAAGGCATACTATATATTTGAAGTGTCTGGCCAAGTTTTTTATGATTATTTAAAGATTTTTTTCTGTAAAATTAGGTTGTCAAATAAATTCTGATTGCCGCAAATTTTATCAAATGTCAAAGACGATCTTTAAGTCATCTCTCAATGTTATGTTTTAACGTTCCAAAATGGAAGATAAGTTTGAAAAGTTAAAAAATAAAAAAAAACATCTTGATTTGCATTTTGATGGAATAAAAAAATAATAATAAAAATATATTTAATCGGAATTTACTAATTTTTTCATTGTAAACCCCCAAAGTTTCATTGGAAACACAAATGGGAGTCTCTGAGGAAAAAGTGCTCATAATATTTTAAAGACATAACTTTTTCATATTATAGCAAATATTAAAACTTTTTTACTTCAAAAACTTGATTAAATCAAAATAGAAGTTGAGGCTGAAAAGTGAAAGTTAAACTCATCATAATGCTTTAATTAATCAATTTTTATTTTGCATACTTTTATGAATTGCAAAAAAGTAAAAATATTTATATATAAATATACGTATATATATATATAGTACCTATGAGGAGTCTGATTAGGTTTAAGAACCTCAAAGTAGTCTTGAACTCCACGCACATTATACTGGAAAGGTGCACGATCATATCCCTGGCTGGGCTGGTATTGGCTGCTGTAGTCGTCCACGTCGTAGTCGAGGGATATAATGTTGTTGCTTGGTTCAGGTATTCTTAAACCCGGATTTCCTCTGAAATATGAAAACAAATCAAAATACGGGAAATTAACTCAGATTAAAAGCTAATGATGCTTTGTAATTCCAAGGTCTCGCATCTCTAACCCTTTGGTAAAAGTAAAGCTAACCTAAAGTCTGACCGCGTCAACCTTGTTGCACCGGCTAGTCCTATTGAGTGTCTGCTTTATTAACCCAATGTAAAATCAAAATACGGGAAATTAACTCAGATTAAAAGCTAATGATGCTTTGTAATTCCAAGGTCTCGCATCTCTAACCCTTTGGTAAAAGTAAAGCTACTTTATTTACCCAATATCCTAGCAATACAGCAAAAACTGGGACCGGAAAGGTTGACCCTGCTCGGAAATTCAAATGTACTACGGCTGCCTGTGTAATGGGACTGTATAATACACTTAATTGCTTTAAACAAAACAAAGAGTTAAACCTTCATCTGATCAAGGATGAACGTTTTATATGTAGAAGTAACTTGCGGAATTTTGCTGCAATGAAACAAGGATTAACCAAAAAACTAAGATATGTTTTTAATGTTTCCAAGAAAGAGGTAACGATGCAGTGACTCGGATATGATTTCTTTTCAAATTTGATTTCCGTCTACAATGCTTCTGATGTATGGAAACAGTTAGATATTTTAAATTTAAAATACAGAGCTGTTACATATTTAGCAGGAATAGGGTTAACATTGAGTAACTTTGATTTTAGACGTATACCCAGTTTAACAATATCATATTTTTTAAATCAGAAATTTTAAAAACAGTTTAAATTTCTTATTTCGTACCTGTGAATTGACTGTGTATATTTGGTTCCTGATTGATCCCGTTCTAGAATATCTACTCTTCGGTTCCCTCGGATACCATTCAATCCATCCTGCGTCCTAAAATGGGATTGTCGACAAGATTTCAAGTGATCATTCTTTTTTAAATTAGATTTATTTTGTCATTTTTCTTCATTGTCTCTACTGCATAAATCTGCAAGGCAACTTTGTAATTGTTTTATTAATTGTTCAGTATGGAAAACCATTTATATCTCCGTAATTATTTTTTAATCACAATTTTACAAATGGTGCCGTTGTGAATTAAAGGAGAACCTCTTCAAATAGAAATTTGAAAGTCACTATGGAAGATTGCAACCATGTCGATAGTTCCTTTACATGTCTATACTATCTCCATTATGCGAGAAAACATTGTTTTTCAAGAAAAACTATAATATTGTAATAATCATTTAAAGTTTTTTTTAACACCTGACAATGGAGTTTTTAAATTTAAAAGAAAGTTAACCGATAAAAAATAATTCAAAATGAGGCTCAATTTCCACGTTTTTTCATAAAATAAAAAGATAACTTCATTCTTACCTTATTTTATCTCCGTAGCCGGAAGAAAGTGAAATACTTGGTCGAAAACTTTGAACCTGCAAAATCCAGGGGGTTTAACAAAAACTTAAAAATTGAAGCGAATACTTTTGGGTAATTTATTTTATACAAAAGACTAGCTAAAGAGCCAGGCATTGCCCGTGAATTTTTTTAAAATAGCCTTTAACACCCATTGGCCACCCATGAGTGTCCACAAAAAATTTCAGCCCAATCGGTCCAGCCGTTTGACCGACTCTAGACAACATATATATATACGAATGTCTCGTTTTATTTTATAAATATTGTGTTGTCCCCTTTTCCTGGAGTTTTCCAAGGTTCCGTCTTTGGTCCACATTTATTTCTGAATCCTCATTTTCTAAGGACAGCTGCCTCTCTGATATCACAGAAGACTGGAAAAAATAGAATAATATTTTTTAAAACAAAAATGCACATGTCAGACGTTTGAAGAAATGATAGTATTTACCTTTGATTCGCTAGATGTTTTATTTTCATCTGTTGAGCTATTTGACCTCTCTATCCGCAGCGGTCGATCTGCAGTCACAACCTTGATTTGAAATCAAATACAAACTGTATTACTTGAAAGATTTCTGAATTAATAAATGAATTTTAGGTAAAACTAAAACTATAAAATGAATAATTTTTAACATCTAATATTCTGCACAACATTTAATAATTTGTGAATTGTAGCAATTATCTTATAAAATGTTCCCATGGAAAGAGAATTTAATAAACTGAAAAAGTTCGCTGAACTATCTACCACCGATTCAAATCCAGATTTAGCGATTCACTCTCAATTTAATTACCTAAATTCTCAAACATCTTTAACTTTGAATCGATGATTCAGGATTTGAACCGGCAACTGCGTTAGGTAGTTTAATTGCTTACTACGGTATTTTTATGCTAAAAGTTGCAGAATTACCTGAATAATACTTAAACTAAAGATTAGATATATATTACAGACGGTCAGACTCAGTCTTGATATCTCCCTCATCATAAATACTTTTCCTAAAAATAATATCCACTCATATCTAGAAAAAATCGTAACATTTTTGTTCCTATTATTAAACTATCCGAGTCTAATTCTAAATTACGAATATTTTGATCGAAGTTCTGAAAGGAATTTTTTCAATAAATGTCGGTAAGATATTTTCCTTATTTAGAAAGGGACAAAGCAACTTTCTTAAAGAGAAAATCAGAAAACTGATTGGTCCCTTCAAACTCTAATTTCTAATCCTTATATCTGTGCAACCTAATGTCATATACTTTTAATATATACAGTAAGAACCCGAAAACTCGGGATTTGGAAGACGACTTTTAAACTGTAAGTTTGTATTGAAATAGTCTTATAAACACGTACAATGAAATACAGTATTTGTACAGAGTAAACAGGCCTTTTTTACTTTATAAAAGATTTAATAAGGTACCAGTGAAAATATTTTCTGTGTAACAACATTAAATGCATGAACATATTACGTCAATGTCGTCTTTCTATTCCTGTACACCACAGTAATATCCAGTATTAAGCAAAAGAAAGGTCGTTATTTTAAAGTCGTCAAGAATTTTGTAATTTTTAAACTCTATAAATCTAAAAATGTGCGATACAATTTGAGTTTGAGACGGGTCATTAGTTTCTTTCTTTACTTCCTGAACGATGAAATTTTACTAATTCTACAAAGAAGTTTATTTCCTTGTTATGGATGAAATCATTTCATATCGAATCCCAGTAATTTAGGGTTCACAAGAAGATTTCTTTTTTATTTATGGTTTCTTGCCTTCGTAAACCGTTTTGTATCCTTACGGTTATACAATTGGAAAATCTCACTTCCAGATGGTCACATTAGAGGTAGACATTTATTACTTGTTATGGTAATCATTTAAGCAAATCTAGAACACCCCTTTTTGCGTAAATGTAAAGCAAGAAAATAGGAAAAGTTTATAAATTAAGAAAAAGAAAATTACATTCTACATAAATAACAAAAAAAACAGTGGAACTCATGTCGTCTTCAAATCAACTTTGTAAACATAATATTCAAAAAAAAAGAAGGGGGAGAAACAAACCAAAAACTATCGAGTTCTAAAAATGAAGCTAAAAAACAACAAGAGCAAAGACAATACAATTCAACTGTTTATTGGATTGACTGTGTAATTATAATTTTAGTGCCAACCATATAATTATTTTTTTAAATTCTTGCATAAGTTTTTACAATGCACATGAACAAAAATGCAATTATGAATATGCACTCACGTAACTTTTACTTTATAAATTCTACATTTATACAGGGTGAGTAAAGAAAACAGGGATTATATATACAGGGTGAGTAAAGAAAACAGAAGGATTTAGAATTTTCAAATTCTCAAGGTCGATCTCTGACGCTTCACCGCCCGTCATGCCTCGCTAGTTTCTCTTCAGAGCTCCGCCATTTTTATTATTTTATTTCAACCCATTTATACCGTTATACCGTTATACCGTTTTACAGGTTTATTTTTAGATTAGTTTCTAGTGGACAATTTGATCATTATTATTAAGAAATATATTTCTTTACAGAAATCTGATTTAAGGTATTTTGATATCAAAAATTCGCAAACTAGGAGGTACGGGTTTTTTCACACATAGATTGAAAGTTGCATTAGTTTTCTAGCTCGGTAAACTTTAACAACACCAGTGGCTTAGAGTTTACATCACACCTACTCATGTATACTTTTTTGAATTCCTAGACATGTACACTTAGATATTATTTAGATATAATTTGGCTTTACTTTTAAAAAAACAAGATGGAAAAATTCCATGCGACCTTTAGAATAATGTGCCCTTATCACAGAACTGGTCGTAAAATTTGTTAAATATTTAAAATGTAAAATTTGTAAAATTTTTAAAATGTAAAATTTGTAAGATTTTTAAAATGTAAAATTTTTAAAATTTTTAAAATGTAAACCAAATAATTTTTGCCCATTAAATAAAAAATTTAAAAACTACTTTTAAAAGAATTATGGTTTGATTTTAAAATTTTTTATGTTTACGCTCACACAAAAAGTAAAAAAAATGTTATGCATAATGCGCCATTGTATATTTCTACTTCCTCTTGCAACATATGTATATGTGCTGGTTATGTTCATTGGTGATATTTATTATAGTGTTTCTGTAAATAGTGTTTGACCATGGCATTGGTTTAAACAAATATTTTTCAAGTTTAAAACTTATTAACGAGGAAATAAACAAACTTATACATATCATACAGGGTTACCCACAAAGAATGAAACTGTAAAGACGACCTAAAACTCTAAAAATATGACAAATTTAAAGCTTAATGTTTAGCTTCTGCACGCCATTTAATTTGATAGTTTACTAAATAATTAAGCACAGAAATAAGCCAGTTTTGACATACAAGGAACCTTGAATGCAAGAAAACGGACTAAACAAATTCCGTACAATCTTCTCTGCTGAAGTCTCATTTTTTTGGGTAACTCTTTTTGTTAAAATGTTAGTTTCATTTTGATGTTTTTATGCGCATCGTACAGAAAAAACAATTTAAATAAATTAAAATGAAACTTTTTAAGAGAGGTTTTTTATCAAGTGTTATTTTGATGTTTTTTACGCGGCGCACAAAAACATGGAAAAAATAACAAACCACCCCAATATTGAGTTTACCCTCAAAACATTGACTCGCACGAACCCTCAAAGATTTTAAAATTAGTTCTTTAACGAACGGCTGCTATAGCTTCATTAGATAACGAATTAGAATTCTTTTAGACTTAAGTCATGGTTTTGAATAGTCCCAAGAACATAAATCTCAGTAATTGTGCAGTGCACAGACCTACTTTGCTTGATAGGATTGTGCAATGCACAGACCTACTTTGCTTGATAGGTTGATCTTAAAGATATATTGTGAAACTTTTTGCATTGTAAGCACATCAAATACACATAAAATTACTTAAAATTCGGTTCCACAGTTTTATGAGAAGCATATTTATGAGAGAGCTAGAATAAGAATGGTCAGTGTGAACTGACGTCTACAGATTTAGAATAACTGTAAAATTATCCGGAAGTAAGATTATGTAACATGCGACTAAAAGAGGAATTATTCTCAGGATATATACGAACACCAGATAAAGCAGATATATTGCCGGAAGAATGTTATTTCCGCTAGGTCATTAAAATTAAATTTTCATTTTTTGTCATTTTTTCGTTTTTTTTTATTTCAGGCTTTTACGAATTTATTTTTATCTTTCGAAATCTACAATGTTAGACGTAAGATTGGTTATTTTCCGTAGATTTGAATTTAATTAGGCAGCTTCCGAAAAGTGATACAAGCAAGCTCTTGAAAAAATCGATGACATGTTTACCAATTACTTTCTTAAAACAAAAGCTAAAACAAAGCGTTTATAGGTTTGAAATGTACTTGTCTAGGGTGAGTTGGTGAGGTTGGCGAGCTAAAACAAGGAGTTGCGACACTTCAAGTAGACCCAATCTTGAAAATGGATTCAATTTTCGTAGCAGTCTGGATCTCATGAATCCGGCGCAGATTTAAGTTATTTGCACAGATTAGATACTTTATGTTGATTTTCAGTCTATTTTCGGTGATTCTTGTATAAAGAAACTACAACTATAGAGTGCATGAGATTCTTGAATAAAGAAACTACAACTATAGGGTGCATCAGATTCTTGAATAAAGAAACTACAAGTATAGGGTACATCAGATTCTTGAATAAAGAAACTACAACTGTTTCGTAACTCCAGGGACCAGTGCTAGAGTTCTGGATCAGTAGTTCCAGGGCCCAGATAGAGGGAGTTTCGTCTCTAGCCAGGCGCAAGACGCGGTATTATACCGGGTTCACGCAGTGAAAGAAAAGGGTTAAAAACCACCATTTTTGTGTAAAACCGTGAAAATTGTTAGATTTCATATAGAGTTTTTTTTAAGTTAAATATTTACAGAAGAGAATGGTATAAAGGTTTAACAGTACTTCAAGGTTACAATTACTATCTTACGGAGCACCGTAGGTAAAGATTAAACGATAATTATAAGGGTTGGTCATAAAAGGTCGGGATTACAGTACCACTAGCAACGGCTGAACCAAATATCTGCAGACTAAATCAAAGGACGCATCATGTCCAGATCCTCGTTTAGCAAGGGCTGAGCCGAATATGCGCCAATTATCCTCGTCCTACAGTATATTCAGCATCTCAAGATTATCTGTTCATATTTTGATATGTACGCCAAACCTTTCTGTCTCGTATTTTTTACTCATGTGCTGTATTACTTTTTATAAACAAATTCATAACGTACAAAGTAAATGTTACATATACTAAATATTTTTATTTCTGTTTAGAACGAACCACGGTTCAACAACTTCATCTTGCAGAATATATGAGAGGCAAAATTCTAGGGGTATCATCGTGAACTACACCTAGGCCGAATTCAGCAGGACTGCAGTTGGGTTATGCTCGGCTCTCGTTAAGACAGTACCAGGTTGGATTTTATAAAATTAAGATTTGGAATATCTTTGGTTTTATCATTACGAGACAGTTTAGACTCTAAACATTTATTTAGTCAAATTGTAGCGTAACATTCGTTCTACGAAATTCCTACGAGATAGGAACACCAGTAATGAATAAAGGTTATTTATAGCTTAATACATTGAAGCAATCTAACATGTAGAATTGCGTCGATTATTGAATAGCTCAAGGTGAACTTCATTTATGCAGTTAATCAGGATTGAATAACTCATAAGTGGTAAAAAAAAAAAATTAGAATTTTAACCCTGACATTGACAGGGTTACAAGGTTACATTCTCAACATAAATAGACCTACACCCCCCCCCCCTGCCTTCTTTTATTATTAATACATTGAAGCAACCCAGAATTTGGAATTGCGTCGATTATTGAGTAGCTCAAGGTGGTTTTATATCATGCAGTTAATCAGGTTTGATTAACTCACAAGTGTAAAAGAAACTAGAATTTCAACCCTGATTTGATAGGGTTACAAGGTTACAATCTATACATAAA